CACCTTTGCCCCGCCCCCACGCCGGGCCCCAAGGCCCCCCCGGCAGATGGGAGCCTCTTCCCCGATGCCAACGGCATGCCTTTCTCCCCGACCCAGGTGCCATCCGCAAAATGCCAGACGTCGAGGAGAGCGTGCCCCCGAAGGACCCTGGCGACGCAGAGGGCAGGTCCTGTAAGCCCGAAACCTCACGACCGGCCCAGGACGACAAGAGTGGCCCAGAGGACCCCTCTGTCCGTAGGTCCAGCCGGGGGTGCCCGTTCCTACCCGCCCCCGGGGTGCTTCGGGTGGGTCCCGTCAGAAGGAACCGTCTTCTCCCGCTCCGGCGCCGCTGAGGGAGCCCGCAGACCCCCCAGACCCCACGTTTTCCCTCTTCACCTTCCAAGCTCTGTTGTCTGCCCTTCTCCGTATCTTTCCCCACCCGTCTTTACTTTCAGGCCCGAGGCTCCCTGTTGGCCAGAGGTCTTCAGAGTCTTTGGTCCTAGAGAAAGAAGAAGTGACCCAAGCGTGATGACTTGACTCTGACGAGGTTTGAGGCAGAGTCGGTTCAAAGCCATCCATCTCTGTATTGTTGTATTTTGAATATAGGTGGAAAAACCGGCAGATATCTGGGCTTGATTTAAAAGAACCCACATGATCCCAGACCGGGCTTGTGTTTTCTCAATGCCCTGTTGACTCTAGAAGTAGGACTGCCTTGGGCTCTGTTTTTTTTTTTTTTTGAGTTGGAGTCTCACTCTGTTGCCCAGACTGGAGTGCAGTGGCTGCTCCCGCCACCACAGCCTCGACCTGCTGGGCTCCAGCGATCCTTCCGCCTCAGCCTTCCAAGTAGCTGGAACTACAGGTGTGCCTACCACACCTGGCTAATTTTTTGATTTATTGTAGAGATTAGGTCTGGCCAAATTGCCCAGGCGGGTCTCGAACCCGTGGGCTCAGGCAATCCACTCAACTCAGCCTCCCAAGGTGCGGGGATTACAGGCTGAGTCACCGAGCCCCGCTTGGGCTCTGTTCTTAAGCTTCTCCTCACTGTCTTGGGTGTCCTTTGGTGTCTGTGTTGGGCACGAGGTCACCTCCACACATCGTGAAAGGCCCAGTCTCGCTGGGACTTACACTGAATTTCTCTGATGATATTCTCCAGTGACCTTAGCCAGCCGTCAGTCTGAAGAGCGGTCCACATGCAACAACCAGAGCTAAAATTCTTGAAGGTGGCCAAAAATTAGTTTGAGGCCCTGCTAAGTTGAATTGCATTTGTTTCTCTGGTGGCCACGGGAGGTCGCTGCTGGTTAACAGAATGGCTCCAGAGCAGCCTAGGGAGACAAATTCAATCGCTACCCACCTGATGTGGGGTTAAGTTTTTTGTAAATACAACTTAAGCTCTTGAGATGGCTATTTAAATAAATCCATAGGTAAATCAACTCTCAGTAAAATGAATAGCCAAATTTGAAATCTTGCATAGTAGGTTGATTTGGTTACACTACTATATTACTTGCAAGTGTCTCTGTCCTTAGGAATCTGGATTTTTAATATCTATTTTAGTTACATCTTTATTATGTGTGAGTTGGAGTCTCACTCTGTCGCCCAGGCTGGAGTGCAGTGGCACATTCACGGGCACCCCAGCGTCGACCTGCTGGGCTCCAGCAGCCCTTCTGCCTCAGCCTTCCAAGTACCCGGAACTACAGGCATGAGCTACCAGGCTCGGCTAATTTTTCATTTATTGTAGAGATGAGGGCTCGCCAAGTTGCCTAGGCTGGTCTCGAACCCACAGGCTCAGGCAATCCACTTGCCTCGGCTTCCCAAAGTGCTGGGATTACAGGCTGAGCCACCGAGCCCAGCCTAGTTACATCTTATATCTAATTTCTCTCAGAGCCCTCCTCCTCTCTGAATTTTAGAGCTGTTTTGGAGTTGCTCTCCTGAGCAACAGAGCAGTCTTATCAAGGCAGGCCATGACATTTGCTGTGGTTGGAAAGTGTCTGTGTGTGTTTCCCTCAGTCCTTCAGTAAACTGGCGTGGCTCTGCCTCCTCTTGAAGGTTTTCTCTCAGCTCACATTTAGCATTTGTGAGTCAGCAGCGTGTCTGTTTGCATATCTGATGGTGTTTTGCTATTTTGGCTATAACTAAAGACTTCAGAGAGGCAGTAGAAACAAAGGGAACTTCAGCCATCCATGTAACACCTTTATGTTTAACTACACAAGGATTCCGTGAATTTGTTTTGTTTTTTTTTTAACTTAGAGTCACAATCCATTGCCCAGGCTGGAGTGCAGTGGCACACTCATAGCCACCCCAGTGAAGGCTTGCTGGGCACCGGTGATCCCTCCATCTCAGCCTTCCAAGTAGCCGGAACTATAGGCTCGTGATGCCACGCCTGGCTAATTTTTTTATTTATTGTAGAGACGAGTTCTCGCCAAGTTGCCTGGGCTGATTTCGAACCCGCGGGCTCAGGCAATCCACTCACCTTGGCCTCCCAAAATGCTCAGATTACAGGCTGAGCCACCAAGCCTGGCTATGTGAATTTTTAATAAAGGTCTACAATCCCCTTAACTTCTTATTTTGAAATATTCCAAATCTGTTGAAAAGTTAAAAAAAAATACAGTGAAAGCACACATTGTTAATATTCTGCCAAGTTTCTTTTTCTCTCTCCCTATGTATGTGTATTTCTCCCCTTTCTGAAAGTTCCAAAGGCATGGCTTTGCCTCTAAATGCTTTGTCGTGCAGTTTTCTAAGAACAAAGGCATTCTCCTGTGTAACCTCTTTTCTACAAAACTTAATTTTTCCTTTTTACATTAAGACTTTTTTTTTTTTGAGTTGGAGTCTCACTCTGTCGCCCAGACTGGAATGCAGTGGCTGCTCCCGGCCACCGCAGCCTCG